CCCCCCTTTCTTTTTTTGGGGGGGGGGGGGGGGGGGCTCGCTGCCCCAGTGCTCTCCCCTTTCCCTTTGCAGGGCTGGTAGCTTGCGCTCGTTGCATGCGCAGGCCGTGCTGCTCCTAGGTAAGAAGATGCCCTTTGCGCAGACGTTGTGGAAGGCCACCGCGGATCTTCTCGGGGCATTCTTTGTGCCACTTCTGCGAATCTGTCTGGTGGGCTGCTGTGATGCCCCGTGCTTCCTCCTGTCTCCACTGCGGCTCCACAGCACAGCCCTACCAGTCAATGGGAGCGTGTTGCAAGGAAGAATTCAAAGGTGGGGGTGGAACTAGAGGGGAAAAGAAGAAACTATTACGGACCTCCCTCTTGACCTCCCTTGCTGAGCTCCACCACCAGGTTTGCTCTCCCAGGGAGCTTGGCTGCTAGTATCTCGGAGGCCCTAGACCAGCTGGGGCAGCTTCCACTCAGCTAGGAACCAGGAACCAGAGTGGATCAGCCCACACACAGCTGCTGCTAACCACGCAGCTGATCAGGCACTCGCTCTCAGACGGAGACAACCTTTGCCCAGCTCCAGGCGTCCACCACCGCACTTGTTCTCTAGGAATTCCCCGGGGCCACAGTCAGTGCATAAGCGCCTTCAGTCCCCAGGACAGAGTTCATTTGGTCTTGTGGGGCACCCAATGCAGGAAAAGCGGGAGGAGTCAGGAAAAGGCATTGCATGCATAGTTTGCAGGGGGTCTCTTGTGCATGATGCAGGGAATGAAAGGGACCTGTCAGCCAAGCTTCCATTTTGTCCTTGGGGGGAGCTCGGAGGAACAAGCAGAAAGCAAGATCAGAACCGGGCAATGACAGCTTGTCCTGGCTGTCTATTATTTGTTTTCAAATCAATCAGTCAGTCAATCAATCTGCATTCTGCACCAAATTGTGGCATCAGTTTAAGCCAAATGTTGCAATCTGTGCAATGAAGCTGCTTTCTGCTTATTTGGCATTATTCATTGTGCTGGTCACGGCCCAAGGTAAGTCACTAGCCAAGCCCGGCTACTGACACTCCAAATTCCCAGCCACCAGGCATCTTGTATTGCTTGCCTCTTAGACCTTAGCAGATGCTGTTAAGGGGTCTTTGCTTCTTTAAACATCAAGTTGAGCATTTTAGGGAGCCCAGTTCTGCGTCCAGCACCACAGTCTTTTTTCAGACCTTGTGTAGAATTTTCAGTATATGGGATTCTGGGAGAGTATCCACCCTGGGGACTGACCTGAAGTGAGGCATCTTTTTATCCTCCTTGGCCAATCCAAAGACTCAGCTTGACGCTGGCCAGGATCTGGGAGAGGCTGCAGCAGCGCTGGAAAAATTGTTCTGGCGTGCCAGGGTGGCCAGCACTTGAAGTCCAGCTCCTGTGAGACCCACCACTGACCCACACAAAGAAGGAGCTCCTTGGCTCTCGGGGGCAGTGGAGCCCAGCCTGCCCAAGAGTCAGAGTGCAAAGCCAGGGGCAGCGCAAGCCTATCACTGCTCGGCTGCATCGAGACGGGCGCCGGAGGGCTCTGCTTCTCTGCCACGAGGCTGCAAGCTGCACCCCCCTTGCAGTTGATGTGGGAAAAGCCGTGCTGGCTGCTTCTCCGAGGCTACGCATGTGAACTGGGGAAGGGTGCTGGGGGCATTCCAGGGATGGGGCGAGGCGCGGAGGAGAGAGGAGATGGAAGAGGCCTGTGCCCCCGAGATGCGCACAGGCCTGGAAGTGCTGCGGCCTCCCATCCCCCACTCTGAGGCACGGCCCTTCGGCAGCCGAGTGGCCCATCCCAACACTTTGTGGAAGAAGCCCTTCCTCTCTGCACGGCTCTGCGCTGGGCAGTGTCCCCCGTCCTCCGAGCGTCTCCGCGGGGCTGCTCCCTTCACGTCCCCCGGGAGGCACACGGGCTCCTCCTTTCCACGCCTGCCTTTCTAACGAACCTTCCCTCTGCTCTTTCTCAGGCCATGGCAATGGGGATGATGACCGAGTACTACCACTTCATCTTCACCACACTGGTAAAGTGCCTGGGCACGCGCGCTCGCCTTGCTTCCGGCCAGGCAGGGCAGGGGGCGGGGGCCTCTGCATCGCGGCGGGGGGCCCTGGCGGGTGGGGCAGCTCATGCGCTTAGCCTGCCCAGAGCGGTCCCCCACCCCTCCGGCCAAGGGGTTTGTGGCGGGGATACTCTCCCCTGTAAATCAAGGTTGCAACAGTAAGACCTTTTCCTTGAACCGAGCTCCCACCCACAGACCACTGAATGTAACTGAATTTGTGATGCAAATTCAATATTCAGATTGCGGTGGGTGATAACACAAAGCACAGTTAGTTGCTTGCAGCTGGTCTCACCACCCTCCCTGTAAGGTAGTCCTGTGCCAGTGCCTGGAAACAGCTTGGGCATAGGCTGGGGTACTGCAAATAGGGAATGGGGTTCCCCCCCCCCACGAGGCCAGGTGTGCCATCTGGGGATTCTCCTAGATCCAACCTTGACCCCAGGGGTAGGGAGGGGCAGCTGCCCCCGTGCTTTGCAATGGCTTAGGCCGCTATGCCAGCTGTGGTCCTTCATTGCAGACCTCCAGGCGAGTCCTAAACATTTGCAGCCGTTGGGCAGGAGGCTTTCGCTGTGAATATGTATCACTGCAGTCGCTTTTGGCTCTGCTGGAACTCCCGCTCTGCACCAGGAGCTTTTCCTTCACCATTCGTTCCACTACATAACCTCTAGGTGGTGCAGTGCTATAGTGGTATATTTTAAGTACACAAGCAGAGAAAGATGATTTCTTTCACCTCCACAAAATTATTCTCCATTTTCCAGCTCCAGAAGAAAGAAAAAATAGGAAAGTTCTCTTGTTAAAAAAAACCCCTGAAACTGAAGGGCCACAACGCTGCCTAAAGAACCAATTCTGAGTAGAGAATGAGGAATGCATAACAAATGTCTCACATACAGAACCTGCTTTGCTTATAATGGAGGCAGGATTTTATCAGCTGTGTGGTGCCACCTAGTCTTAATGGTTACTGCTCTCACTGTTTTCTTGTGCTTTGTGGTTTGGTCCCTTTTCCATAACTTGCTTGCTGCTAATAACAGGCAGGGAGGGAAGGAGGGGGGGCTGGCAGGGGATGCATGGGGGGGGGGTCCTGACTGTGACCTGGCGGGCATCTTTCTTTTCATCCGTGCATGGCCTGTGCTTCCTCCATCCTGGCTTCAGGTGCAGCCTACCTGAGCCTTGCAGGTAGCCTCAATCCAGGTGCCTCTGGGGCCCCCTGGGGGCTGCACCCCAAGCCCTCTGGACACGCACCGGGACCAGAACTCATTCCCCAGAGCAAGTCTTACTGTGGCAACCTCTACATTCGGTTCTGAAAGCTCACATCATCCCTCCAAAATAAGGAGACATTTTAATTACCGCCGCCACCGTTATCTCTGGGTAGCAGCTTTACTTTACTCTCTGATAACCTCTCCTTAATCAGCCCCAGCTGAGGTCTTGGAACATTTCTTCCAAATAAGTAAAAGCGGGAAGGTGAACAGGAAGAAGGGGGTGCAAGAGGAGGGAGCAAGAAAAAATTATAATAAATTAATAGATAAGCAATTACAATTAGTGCCACTTCCCTGAAATAACAGCTGCACCGTGGGAAAGATATTTTAAGCTGTTTCGCCTCCAGGCGTGGCTCTTGTCAGAGTGGTCACTTCTGCTCAGTAAGGCCTGCGGGGCGGCTGCGTTCATTGGCTTCGCGACACTAAAAGACCCCCGTGGGCTTCAGATGCCTCCGATCGGCAGTCGGCAAGGAGGAGCCGCATGCTGCAGGGTGGGGGGCCGGAATGTGGCAAGCCGCACAAGGGGCCACCTGCCCACGGCTGCCGGGCCCGCGGTGCTGGCACCTCACTCGCCGTGGGAACAGCTCCCGCGAGGGGGGCGGCAAGGAGGACCCCTTGTTCCGTGCCCGAGCTAGTTGCCGAGGACGGGACATTCAGGAGCTGCTGCCCCAGTGGGAAAGGCCTCCCTTCTCCCACAGCAGCCCTTCCAGAATCCTGGGAGTTCCTCGGGCGCTCGGCAAGTGCCCCCCAGCGAGGGGCCAGGGGCTTCCCAGAGGCGCTCTGCTCGCCATTGCTGGCCCCCTGCTGCAGCGTCGTGGGCCCTGCCCCCCAGGCTCCAAGCCAGGAGCAGGACGGCAGCCCGCCTCCAAGCCTGCACGGTTGCAGTGCCTGCTGGTACCCGTAGCTTCAAACAGGAACAAATAGCTTTCTTTCAGAACCTATTAGGGTCATCATGCCGATTGTAACTAATTAGTGAACAGCTGTTAGGGTTAAAGTGGAAGAGAAGCAGAGGGGCAAAGGGATAAATAAGATGAGAAAGTTAATATAGAGATTGGAACGGACTGATTGTAATCAATTTTTTAGTAGTGCAAAACGACTGGAGAAGGAAAAAGAACAAAAACTAAAAACCTAAATTAAAACATTGCAATGTCTGAATCAATTGTAAAAAGTTCCATATATATTATATCTCTTCTATATATTAGGATATAATAGAATGTATTACTGCTGTTAAAATCATGTTTCATTGGACCACCACATGTTGAAGATCACAGGAGCAGAGCTGGGGTCAGACTAGATGGCTCAGGACCCCTTCTGACTCACTTTTTCCCTATGCTTCTGTGTTTCATAAAATACAACAAAATCCCTATTTATCCATTTCTAAATTATGCCTAAAGATCATGCATTCAAACATCCAAAGTTTCATTAAACCCTCCGTGCATTGTGTTATTACAGGTGGCCATTTATCTTTATAATGTTGTAATATTCGTCCTGTAGCTGTTAAAAGGGTGCACAAAATCCATTTGTGTTGACCTTGCGTTAAATTCCAGGAAATAGGTAGATAATTCAAAAGAGCATATGTAACCATGAATATTAAAGGACTTTCCATCCTAAGGTTTAGCCGAATTGCTGCCTCCTCGCCAAAGAAAGCTGCCACCGGGCATTGCCAGAGGGGAGACGCTTCAAGCTGCACTGCACCTCCAGTGATGGGGTGAATTAATTAGCCCCTCATCAAAAGGGTGCTGTGGCATCCAATATACTCAAACTACCCTTTAATTCAGTTTGAAAGAGGTTCCACTGCCCTGGTCTAAGCTAAAGCCGAAGAGGCAAGTTGGGATGGAGGGGGGAGGGACTGTCCAGCGAGGCGAGCGAGCCCCGAGCCCCTGGGCACTGCTCTGAGGGGAAGCAGGACAGTGGCTGGGAAGGAAACGTCCCAGGGAATGTTCCCCAACCAGTGACGTCTCCAGTGTGGAATGAGCCCCTCAGAGGCAGAGCAAGAGGCAGGGAAGGGCTCCCGACATGCCAGGAGCAGAACCAGTCCGAAGAACTCACCCCTGCTTCCCTCTTCTGAGGCATCCTTATAGATAGAACAGAACATCGTCCCAGTGTTCACCACCGACATAGCCGGGGCTTCTTTCAGTGTCTTACGATCTTGGCCGTGTCCTCACCAAACTCCCGTGCCTCCATCTTTTTGCAGTCTCACAGTGATGCAGCAAGCATGGCGTTCCCATGACTTCAGGTCATGCCTGGAGGTGGCCACAATTAAGCTAAATGTGCTAAATGAGTTTTGCTGCTTGCAAACATTTAAAACTTTTTCATATGGTTTGGTGATAATGTGTAATTAATCATTGTAATTAACTGATGCATGGCACAGAAATGCCTGCCAGCTGCAATGGAAAGTAATTTCCTCCCACCCCTTAAAGCAGCACTGGGGGGTCCCGGCATCTACAGAATCCCACGGGAGGCTGAGCTTCAGGAAGTGCCATGAGCTTCCTCTGCAGGCATCTGCTCACCCTCAGCTTGGCGTGCCCCCATCTCCGCAGCCTGCCCCCCTTGCAACCAAGGCTGAAATCGCGCTTAGAGGGCAGTGGGCAATCACTGAAACAGACTCTTTCTCTTTTTTGAAAGGATCTTTATGCCTTAGATCTGGAGCAGTATCGCTACTCGGGAGTAAACCTGACTGGCTTCCGCATCCTGAACGTGGAGAACCCACACGTCTCCGCCATCGTCGACAAATGGGCAATGGAGCGCTTGCAGGCTGCCCCCAAGCCTGAGCCGGGGCTGGTCGCCGGCGTGATGATGGTACGGCGCTCCCTCTGGGCTCGCCGCCCTGCGAGTTGCGGTGGGCCTCCCGGGACGGCCCCCCTCCGCCCCCTGCGCCCGCCCAGCCAACGCGGCTCCCTTTACTTTAGACAGACGCTGCCCTCCTGTACGACGCGGTGCACATCGTCTCCGTGTGCTACCAGCGGGCCCCCCAGATGACCGTCAACTCCCTGCAGTGCCACCGGCACAAGGCCTGGCGGTTCGGCGGGCGCTTCATGAACTTCATCAAGGAGGTAAGGGGGCCCGGGCAGAAGCGCCGCCTCCTTCGACCCGGCTAGAGGTCCCGGGGCCTTTCAGCCACGTGCGCCCTGGGCGCTGTCGACTCGACTCGGCAGCTCTCCGCCAAGGGTCTGGCAGGGAATCACAGAAGAGTCACGCGGGAAGGTCAGGGAGAATCCGGGGGAGACGAGTGCTCGCCAGTCTATTCGCAGGGCAGCCCAGAATAAGCAAGAAGGCGGGGAAGGAAAGGGTTGCTGCCCCCCCACCTGGGGAGTACGCCTCCTGCTCTGCAGGCCTCGGGGGCTCCTGCAGCCACGCTCAGTCCAAGGCGGCTGCTCAGCCCCGGCCCTGCCCTGCCCTGCCCTGCCTGAGAGAGGAACCCCGGCCAGGCCCCTGGGGCGTCGTCAGGGCCCCTGCTCCACGAGGGTGCCCAGTGAAAGAGCCGGCGGGCACCCTTGGGAGCCTTGGCCCAGCCCAGCACCATCTCTCCGTTCACCTCGCGCCTCGTGGGCTGCTCATGATCCAAGGCAGCCTTCTCCAACCTGGGGCCCTTCCGAGTTCGGGAGCTCAGCCCCGTTGGGGCGAGGCAGCATGGCCAAAGGTCGGGAACGCTGCAAGCAGATGGCGCCTGGTGGAGGGCTGCTGGTCTGCAAGAGGGACGGCTGCTGGAGCACCCCCGCCCCAGGCCAGAGCCAGAGCCAGAGCCAGCCCTTCCTTGCCGGCTTCGCAGGGCGGCCGGCAGGGCGGCCGGTGCTGGGCTGGAGCCCTGAGAAGGAGCCGGCGAGGCGGGGCACGTCCCGGCCTTCTGAAATGGTGGCAGTGCCTGCAAAGGCAGAGTGGGCTGGCCCAGCGATGTACCAGGGAGCAGACCGGGGCCCTGGCCCAAGAACCTGGGCTAGCTGCCTGGGCCACTTGACCCACTCCCTTTCTCGGGGCTAGTCCTGAACAACCACCGCTGGCTGGAGAGGGGCAGGGCCTGGCTTGAGAGACGGGATTGCTGTGAGGAGAGGAGGCGGTCTGGAGTGCTCGCCAGGTTGCCAAGGAGAGGCGCGAGGGCTGACCCGTCATTGTGTGCGTGACATTCAGAGCATCTCATTCAGGAGCTTCTGAGGCTGGCAGAGCAAGGCAGAAAAACGGCCACGTTTGGCCTCGAGTTCCCACCCGCCTCAGCCAGCAAGGCTGCTGCTCGACCAGGAAGCACTGTTTTCCCAGGAGCCCTTTTCTCACTCTTCTGGCCAACATCATTGTTGAATTCTTGGTACTCAGTGTTTTTGTGCTGCTCTCCTGGGCTTTTTCGTGTTCGATTTGTGGCAATTGCTTTGCAATAAACTTCCTGTGGATGATATCCCGCTAGACACAATGGCTGAGCCTTTCCTCTCGCTGTGCCGTGCCTCGGAACACGGCCGGCTGGAGGACAGCGGCGGAAGGCTGTTCAGGGCATCTGTGGCATCGGATTGCCTCCCTTTGCACCACCACGAGCCTCGATACGCCTGTGCTTCCAGCATGCCTCCGCTCGTGGTCTGGTGCTGGTGACCTGCTCCATGGGATCGCCATATGTGCCCAGTTTCAAAGCAGTTGATAAATATGGTCATAGGTACAGCAAGTTAAAAAGAGCTGGCACACGATACATTCACTTTTTAAAAATAATGCATCCATTTATTCATCCAAAGCCATCCAGGCCCCCCCGAGTGGTTTGCAGAGGGCAAAACTAAACCATTTCCTGCCTGCAAGCCGGCAGTCCAAGGCATACAGCACCAGGGAAGAGGGCGGGAGGAGAACAAACAGCCAGGCATTCAGGCACCGCTTGGCTGCAGCTTCTAGCAGGTCACGGGGTGGATCTAAGCATGGCACAAGGCCTGCAGCTTCCTTCTGCTCAGGGCCACAGAAATGGCCAAGCAGGGAGCAACCCTCGTGCAGGCACTGGGAGCAAGTTTCTGCCACACGGCAGTGGGCATCCCTGGGGAAGGTCGTCCTCCACTGCTCCAATGAAGTTCTGAGCGGCGCTGCCGAGGCAAACGGGCCCCTTTCCTGCCTCCTTGGCGCCTGGGGCAACTCTGAGGCAAAGCTTGGCCCGACCCCGGAGCGGGGGGCCACCGGGACAGTGCTGTGGCGGGAAGGTCTCGCAGCCGGGGATGCACTGCGGCAGTTTTCCTTTGCACTCCGAGGCAGCATGGGCCTTGAGCTGTGGGCTTGCGGAGCATTGCCAGAAAGGGGCACAGCAAGGCAAATATATCCGGTAAGACGTGGGAACGGTCCGAACTGGCCCCCTGCGTCAAGCCCAGGTTTAATGCCCCCACCCGCACCCCACACTCCCTCCAGTCCTGCCCTGGCTGGGGCCTGTGCCTCCTCTAGAGCGCGGCTGGGCCCTCTGCAGCCTTCCGGCTGTTTGGCCATGACCCCCTTCAGCCTTAGCCAGTGTAGCCAGTGCAGAGGGGTGCAGGCTGTAGTCCGAGGCATCTGGAGGGACACAGGCTGCCCAGCCCCCCGCGGAGTAATGTGTAGCCTGGTCCCACGGGACCTGGGAGGAAGCACGGGATGCGCTGGTGGGGAAATCCGAGCTCCCCAAAGCGGGGCACGGGGTTCCCCTGCCTGCTCCTGCCTTCCACGCAGGGAGATAAGGGAGCGCTGGGGACGGCGGCCTCGCTCAGCTGTTCCACAGGGCGGCAGGGAGGGGGCCGCGCTAGGAGGGCACCCAGAGCACCTCCAGGGCCACTTGCGCCACCTGCGGCCTCTTCGGGAAGGGGAGAGCGGCTGGAGAGCGCAGAAGGCGGGCAGCCCGGGAGGCAGCTTCCTCCTCAGTGCTGATGGTAAAAGGGCCGGCGATCCTTCTGGGCCATGCGCTGGCTGCCGTTGGCGTTAAGCGCCGAATTTGTTAAACTGGCCTGGCTGTCCCTAGAAAGCACTGATGCAATCAGCTCGGCTCGCCCGGCCTGGCCAGACTGAGGCTGTGGGCCGCTCACCGCAGGAGGGCCGGGCAAGCGCCTTGGGGCCGCCTGTCCGGGTTCTTGGTGCTCTTGGGGTGCCTCAGAAACGCCCGGCAGCCGCCGCCTGGCCTGGCTGTCGCACACCGGTGCAGGCGGCTCGGCTCTGCTCGGCTCCACTTCCGTCGCGAAGATGGCCTTCTGCTTGGAGCCTCCCTGAGGACACATCTTGCCGGAGTATAACCCCCGTTTGCAGCAGTGGGTCTGCAAGTGCAGAGCTAGTTGAGAGCACGGGAAGTGTCAATCCTGGGAATGAACGGAGCCGAGTGGAGAGGATGCGCTGGGCAGGAGAGTGCTGGCAGCGGGGTCACCGGGCTGCCGCCACGCCTGGAGCCGCAGAAAGGAGGCCCGGTGGATCCACACGGAGCGGGGCCCCGGGGGAGGGCGGCCGGACCTCCTCTTCGCGTTTCAGCTCGCATTGTTGCTCTTCTCACGGCAGCGAGTGATTTGCCGCTTGTTAATTGCCCTGTAAACAGCATAGGCAGAAGGGCAGCAAAATATGAAAAACAACAACAACAACAACCTGAGTGTGGCATTGGGAGGGACCCCGGCCCCGGACCTGCCCTTGGGCCAAGCATCTGCAGCACAGAAGGGAGAGGAAAGCCCCCCAGGCGCCTGCAGGCCCCGGACGGAGCTGGGCAGGCGCCTGGCCCGGGGCCCGGCATGCACGGCTCCCTCCCTGGGCTGCTCAGGCTGCCCTTGCAGAAGCTCAAGGGCCAGAGGCAGCTGATCCGTGCCCCCACCATGCCCCCACCCTGGGGCACCGCCTGCAGCTGTGCGGTGCACTCGCGCATGTGCTGCGCATGCCAGAGAGAGTGTCTTGGAGTATCTGGTGCTGCTGGATGTTGCGGGCAGCTGACTTCCTTTCGCAGAAGGGGAGAGCCAGCAAAGAGGTGTGGCTGGATGGAGATAACCCCTGGGGAGTTCGTGTGGCCGCAGCAGTGGGGCAGGAAGGGCTAATTGCTGGAAAGCCAGAAGGCTAAAGGAGCTGGGTTGGGACATCCCCCCACCCTGGCCAGCCTGCCCAAGCTGAACCCCGGTGGTGCAGTAGTGGGGGCAACTTGTACAGAGAGTAAACGGCACCCCGCACATGCCCAGAGGCTTCCCATGCCTGGCGTGCTGAGCCCCGGTATTGCTAAACCGTGCAAGGAAGCGTTGCTGAGCCCCGTTTGTCCGGCCACACAGGGGCTGCTCTCTGCGCCTTGGCGCCTGGCAGGCGTGACGTCAGAGGCGGCCCTCCAGCCACTGGCCCGGCCTCCACTGGCGTGACGTCAGTCCCCTGCACAGCGGGACCTGAAGGTCTGTGTGTAAACCCGGGCCGTACGCACTCTGAGCAACGGCAGCCCCTCGGGTTCATCGACGCTGCTTTCGGGGGCAGTGAGGCAATGCGGCTGAGCAGAGGCCTCGAAGGAGCTGGGCAAGCTGTGCTTCCCGCGCCCCTGCTCCCCGCGTGCGTGTGGGCGTTCGCTGCTGCCCTCGCCAGCGCTCTTGTTCCCTCCAGGCCCAGTGGGAAGGCCTGACCGGGCGCATCACCTTCAACAAGTCCAGTGGCCTGAGGACCGACTTTGACCTGGACATCATCAGCCTCAAGGAGGACGGGCTGGAAAAGGTGGGCAGGGCGGGCTTGCATCCCTTTGCCCCGGGGCCCCTTCCTTCCCTCCCTCCCTCCCTCCCTCCCTCCAGCGTGGCTTGGGGCCCTCCGGGCGTTCTTGCCCACAGTGCCCATCGTCCCGGCCACTCCGCAGTGCCAGGCCTCTGGAGGGTCTGAGGTGGCCAGCCCGGATGCGGCGGGCAAGGCTGCCGGGGGGGGGGGCACCCCGTGGGTGGGCCTCCCTGGAGCACGGGCGGTGGAGCCACTGGCTGGGCCATGCGGGGCGCCGCTCAGCTCGTTCCTGACACAGGCACGCCTCCTTTTTAAAACTGGGCATCACGCAGGCATTTTAGAGTGCATCTCTTTGGTATCTTCTTACACTGAGCAAACCCAATCAAAATGGGCGAAGAATGAGGGGCGGGCGGGCGGGCAGGACCTTTGGGGGCTGCTGTGGAGAAAAAACATCTCCCTCCCCCGCTGTCTGCCCCAGACTCTTGAGACTTTCTGGCCTTTCCCCTGGCCTTCTGGAGGGACGTGATCCCGGTCTTCTTCCACCATCGACCCTCGTTCAGGCCAAACGGAGACGAAAGGATGCCCGGGTTTCCGGTTCATTTCCATGATTTCCCGAGAGTTCACCGCATGTGTGCGCACGCTCTTCCTCCTGAGTGTGCGTGTAAGCCCCTTGTTAGCTCAGGAGAGACTTTGGAGTGTCCCTGGCAAATCTCTGTGGATCAGAGACATTAAATTCTTGCCAACAGATAATCTGAATTAACGCCGTTCCCAAACCCGGAGCAAATCCCACTATGTACTCTCGCATTATTTTTAATAGCTTACATTTGCAGAGGTTTAGCTGTGGTTGTCTGGTCCTCCTTGCCTCTTGCAACTCCACAGATTATGGCAGCATTAATCACACGCAGGCACGAATCCTGCCTCTCTGAAGCCATACAGCAGTGCCGGCTGTGGAATGGCTGACAGCGCTGGCGATCGCCAGAAGCAGCAGCGGCAGTCAGGCAGGCCCACGCAGAGCCCCTTCCGTCCGTCCGTCCGTCCGTCCTTCCTTCCTTCCTTCCTTCCTTCCTTCCTTCCTTCCTTCCTTCCTTCCTTTGCCAAATGCATTTTGCACTCTGCCGTGGGAAGCATGCCTGTTGCTTGCTTCCCATCACATCCACTCATATTCTTGAGGCCCGTAGATGGTTGCAGGGTGGAAGAGAAGATTGGTGACAAGCCAGTGGCTTCTGCACAAGCAGCCGGCATCTTGTGCAGCTCCTGGAAGGCGTTCCTGGATGTTTCTCAGGCGGCAAAGCAGCCAGGTGGTTGCACAGATTTGAAAAAATCTAAAGAAAGAGTAGTAAGAAAAACAGAGCCCACTGCTGGCAGCGAGTGATGGTGGGACTGGAGCCCTCGCCTTATCTCAGCTGCTCCAGGTGAAACTTTGAAATGTGGCTCCCGCCTCCTACATTATTTTTCCAGAACTGTTCAGTCTGCCTGCGAAAATGCTCAAAAATCGCCCCTGGGCAGAGTGTGCCCCCCATTTTTTGCTGATACTTATTTGGCTTCCCAGTTGCGAGACCTCTCCCAGGTGAGCAGCCAAGCAGAGAAATAAACATCATTTGCTCCGGTCTCTCATGCATTAGCTTTTTCGGAGCAAGCCCTAATAATTCTTTCGAGCCTTACAGCAAAAGAGCAAAACTGTGAGGTTTACAACATGGTGGCTGCTTGGGTTGTGTAGTCCTTGGCGTGAGGCTGGGTGTGAGTGCCTGCCTTTCCAGTGCCGCTCACTGGAGCTGGACTCGGGGGGGGGGGGGGGGGGCGGGTGCTCACATCCTGATCCTGTTAATTGAAGTAAGAGTTTCTGCAAAGATGGCCCAGCTCCCGCTCCCGCTTCTTGCATGACAGTGGCCTGCGAGCTCACTCCATCCCCATCCCAGACTTTTAGAATCTCTGGCCACCCTCCTGCCCCCTCTTCCAGGCTTCGGTCAGAGGCCCTTGGGCAAGAGCTGACTCCTTTCGGCCTTTGCTTCCACCACAGGTTGGCGTGTGGAGCCCGTCTGAGGGACTGAACATCACCGAAATCTCCCGAAGGCAAGGCCCCAACGTGACCGATTCTCTGACCAACAGGTCCCTGGTTGTCACCACAGTCCTGGTAGGTGCCTGAGGACTTTCCCTCAATGCTCCCAGTGGGGCTGTGCCTTGTCCTCCTATTTCCTACTTGCTGCTTACAGGCCTGGGTTCAAATGGGGGGCACATGAGGAACCTAAAGAGTGTTCAGTCTGAACGATGTGTCCACATGGATGGTTTGTTATGACTATTAACTTCTGTAGCACCCAAGGTTGAAACACTTGCATGCGATTGTCCTGGCCATTCTCCTCCCCTCCTTCTAAAGAGACGCAGGTGATGGCTTTATAACTAGAAGACTTTGCTCTGCCCACGCTAACCAGCTCTAAAGTACAAGTGAAGAGCACTGCAGAAGTCAGCGGCCAAAGGAACGAGCAGTTAGAATCTGAGCGCTGGAGAAAAGTGTCTTAATGAGAAGAAGCTAATTCCAGCCGGAATAGCCCTGCTCCCTGCAAACGGAAAGGTGGCGCCCTGGCTTGGAGCAGCGCCACGGACACCTCTGCACTTGCCTGCCCTGCACCACGGATGGTGCCCAGGCTGCCTGCCTCCTCATCGGCAGGCTCACCAAGTTTTCCCTCATATTTAAGTAGTATGTTTATTGCTGTGCAATCAAACGATGATTGCAAATACGATTATGCAATTCAAAATAAAATAAAATACACATGAGGTTAAGCGACATACTGGCAACAGAATAAAATGTATGCTGGAAACTCTCTGGTTCTCAGACCAGAGCTCTGGGGCGGCTGGCCCAGGAACCTCAGCCTGGCACGCTGCCCCTGCCCCCCCCCCCCCACAGGATCCGCTCCCACACCCCTTGTGGACTGCGCTCCAGGAGGGTGGGCGGTCCCTGCAGCAATGCACTGCTGCACAGGGTGGGGTGGTGCAGGGGTCCCAGGGGACGTCCTTGGGTGGCAGCCCCTTCAGCCTTGCTCTGCAACGGGGAGGGCGCAGGCTGCAGCCCTGGCTGGGCCACACAGGCCCTGGGGCAATCGTGCACCCCGCACCCCTCCCAGCCCGCTCAGAGTGTTGGAGGAGGGCCTCATGGCTGGGGAAACAGGCGCCGAGCATTCCTGTCCGGGGCGAGCTGCTCGGGGAGGGCAGGCCAGTGCAGCAGGGGTGCCAGTCTGCAGGACACCCGTGCTCCTTCACCCGCTGCCCCCAGCAGCCGGCGTGGGTCTGACGGGAGGATCAGGTGAGGCGTGCAGCAGCGAGCGCCCTGGGTTACGCTGACCTTCCCAGGCCACCTCCCTGGGCCTCCAGGGCACGGCCACCCTCCCGCGGCCGCCATGCCCCAGAGGCGCCTGGAGCCACAGCAAAGCCTTGTCCCTGCCATTCTCCCCCACAACACTCAGCGCCCCGGCTCCCACCCCAGCACACGCGCACACCGAGGCCGGGCGAGGCCGAAGCGGCAGCGCAGCCTGGCGCGACCCGCTGTGCCGGCAGCACACCGGTGCTCGGCGGGGCCCCGCGGGCGCAGCCACCCACGCACCGGCCAGGCTCCCGGTCAGGCGCGCTCTGCTCCGCCTTCCGTGAATCACGACGAGGCCGGCTGCCCAGAGTCAGGTGAGGCCTGCTCAGTGCCGGCTCTTGTGTGAGCGGGCAGAGATGGGGAGGCTGTTGTGAGCCACCTCGCCAAATCCGCGCACGCGGCTCTTCCCCGGCAGCCTCTGTCCCGGTGGCTTTTGAAAGCCTCTGCGGAGACGGGGCAGTGCCGGGTGCCGGTCCTTGTGCCATTTCGCCAGTAGGGAGAGGCCTCGGCCATCCGATCGGCCACAGCCACTGCCTGCTGCCGATCAGGAATCCCAACCGCCTTTTCCGCCATTTGCGCCCAAGTGCTGATCGGCCGCAGCAGTCTCCTCCGGGCCAGGCCAGCCTAGGAGGTGATCTTGGCAGAGAGGTCAGGCTGGCTGCTGGGAGAGCCCGGCCTCAGCCCTCCTTCCTGCCTCTGGTTCCCACACAAGGGGGCTCTCTGCACTTCATCCTCAGGAGCAACCCACAAGGAAGGACTTTCAGCGTATTCCTTGCAAGCTGCTTCTGCTGCAGGCACCTCTTGTGCTCAGACACGCGTCACCCCATCCCAAATGCCTGGGATTACAGGGAGAGATGCAGAGCGACATGTGATTTCTACGACAACTTTACTGAAACCAAGCGCAGTGCGTGAGGTTCAGTCCATGCACCTTGTCACAGGCCGCCTGTTTCCGGTGCAGCAGCAAAAGTGCTGGCCGCTGGCCAGGCCACGGACTCGGCAGCCGGGGCTGTGCTGTGTGTGCCCCTGCCTGGCCTGGAGTTCTGCGGATTGTGGCTCTTGCACACATTCACCCCCACGAGGCCTTGCACCATGCGAGAATCCGTGTCTGCCTGCCACCGGGCAGTTTGCAAACTACCCCTGGGGCAGCCCTGCGCCCAGCAGTCATCGGGAGCAGGCCCAGTGGGAGTCCAGAGCAGTGCTCTCTCCCTCAGTGCTCCGCAGGAATGCTGCCGGGCCTCCAGTCCAAAGCAGGTGGCAGTGCTGGCCGGAGGAGCGCCTCCTCCCGGCAGGGGGAGCGGTGAGTCCTGGCTGGGCACAGTGGTGGGCAGCAGCCCTCACTTGAGGCTCCTTGTGAGTAGGTGCAAACAGCAGGCTCTGCTTTGCTCTCCCACTTTGCTGTGACGGTTTCCAGGTAGTGGCAGGGAGGGGAGGGCTCCGTGCCCGGTTGTTGTGGGGTGCATCTGGGGGAGAGCGGCAGCTTCCCCACGGGGCGGCTTCCTGCGTTGTGTGGGCCCCACTGCGGGTCCTCCAGCGCAGGCGCACCGGGCTCCTCCTGCCCTCCCAGAAAGCCCCCTTCCTTTGCCTGCTGGCGGTCGTGTGGCTCCGCTTCCCCTACGAGGCCCATCTCGGAGCTCGTGCTCTCTACGGCGCTCCCCTTCCGGGCCTTACAGACTGCCCGCATCCCCTGCTTGCCTTGGCACGCAAATACCATTTTTCACTGCTTCAGGCTTTTCCCTTCAGCGGCGTTGGTGTTTCAGAGGAGTGTAAGAACAGCCCTGCGGGATCCAGGGCAGGGTCCCTCCAGGCCGGCACTCGTGCCCCCGGAAGCCAGCCGGCAGGAGGACGCAAGGCCTCTGCCCACCCAAGCTCCTCAGCAACCTTCCTTTGCCAATGCTCTCCCCCTCCGACCTCGGAAACCGCTCTGCCCCCAGTGGGCCAGCGCATGAGTTGGCATGAGCAGCCCCTTGGCTCTCCTTTCCACTGGGCCGCTTGCTGGGGGGAGCTTGGGAGTTTTCTGGATGCCCACCGAGTGTGCCAATGCCGTGTCCTGCAGGTTCTGCTCCCGCGCAGGAGTGGGGGGACCCACGAGGGCCGGTGGGCCAGACATTGCCCATGTCGGAGCACTGCATCTCCTGGGGCAGCATGCTGGGCGGGGGCGGCGGGGAGAGAGCTGATGCAGAAAGTCAGCTCTCTGCTGCGTCTAGGGGTGAGTCTCCGTACTCTTTTGTGGGTTGACGGTGGTTGGTAAAGGAATGGACCAGCTCTCGGGCTGTCCAGATGAATCCTGCCAGCAAATTGGCCTCAGTTCGAGCAAAAAGGGATTGTGGCAGCCTGGTCATGCGCCTTCCTTTCAGCCACATGCAATTCCAAGAAATTGCCCAAGTCACAGCGGGGTCACCCTTCTTATCTGGGCCAGCCCAGTGCAGCTGGCAAGCGAGTCTTTGAGTCCCCCAGGCCCTTGTCAGCCCACATCCTCCTGTACTGGTTCTAAGCCCCCTTCCCAGTGGCTGCCCTCCAAGTTGTGGTCTCCAGGGTGGCGTGTGTGCTGCGGGGATGTGCTGAGCTCGGGTGCAGGGAAGCTGGCGTGGATGTGTGTCTTGACCACCATGCTGCTGAATTTGGGGCTGGAGCGAGGAACTGAACGATCGGACTCGGGCTGGCCTGTCTCGTTTCCTGGGAAGCCGGCTGCATGCCCTCCCGGCAGCCCTGCTTCTGAGCACAGGCGAAAGACTTGGCTCCACGTCTAGCGCATTGTTTGCATCCCAGTTTCAACTGGGAGTTCTCCCAGGATACTTTCTTGAGCTTCCCTTTTGCCAGGGAGCACCACAGCTGCCCGGAGAAGGCAGGAAGGGGGCCTCTCCGCACACCTCTTCCATCGATGACCCGGACTGGACTCATGCTTCAGACCTTCAGCAAAGCTGCCAGAGCACCCTCGCCCTACCTCCGTGAGGGCGGGATGCTCCCTGGGCCAAAGATGGGGTGGTGCTGCTCGGGCGCTTCTGCATGTACAGCTGGACCCTCTGCAAAAGCCTGCCCTGCAGGGCGGTCCCGGAAAGCAGTGCGGGAGGGGCAGCGCTGTGGCTCAGGCCAGGGGGAAGGGGGAGGCTGGGCCGCCCTGCCCGGCCTCTGGACAAGCGGTTGCCCTGAGCATCCCCTCCACCTGTGCCAGCAGCCTCGCTCCGAGAGCACAGCAGACGCAAAGCCAGCAAAGCCCGCCACGGTGCAGGCATGCGGAGGCGCATCGCAGCAGGTTCCCTGCATTCAGCACCAATTCTGTTTCCACCAGAAGCGAGTGTGTGTGCACCCCACACACACCTGGCTCACACGCCCCTTGCCGGCATGCTGCTGTGATGCTGGAAGGAGTGAGGGGAGCAAGATGCCTGCGAGTCCCCCCCCCACTCGGAATTTTGGTGCGTCTTTCTCGGGAGACTGGCGGGACCTTGCTCCGGCGTTGGAACCGGCGTTCCAAATATGGAGATCCTGAACACGTGTGAGTGATGGATGGCACCCGGCACGTGCCGGTCTGAGCTGGTCTGACTCCTCTGGGCTGCAGAGAAAGAGCCTCTCGAAGCCGCAGGCAGAGACCGCGAATTCTTCTGGCTCAGCAGGAGGAGAGCATGCGCTCTCATCCTCAGCTGCTGGCCAGTAAAGTGGGAAATCTCACACAGTTACGCACAACGGTCATAATCCAAGGTGAGTCTTTTTAACAAGCCACTGAATTCACAGACCGTTTTCCCGCGTGACTTTGTCTTCGTTCGCAGCCAGCAGAACTGGTAAAGCACCTTGCAGATTTAACGTGCTTTAATGATGGAACGCGGCAGTTCTTGTCGCCAAGCTGTCTGCAGGCTGTTCATGCCGGAGAAGAAGCGCCTGCCTGGGGCCTGGGGCTTCCCTCGAGGACTCGTGGGCTCGGGGTGTGCAGTGTCTCTGTGAACGCCTTCGCTTTTCTCTCCCTCACTCCGCTGCACAGGAGGAGCCGTTTGTCATGTTCGCCAAGTCCGACACGGTCCTCACCGGAAACGGGCGCTTCGAGGGGTACTGCATCGACCTCCTCACCGAGGTCTCCCGCATCCTGGGCTTCTCCTATGAGATCCGGTTAGTGGAGGACGGGAAGTACGGCGCCCAGGATGAGAAGGGGCAGTGGAACGGCATGATCAGGGAGCTGATCGATCACGTAAGTAAGAGCGGTGGAGCCTCCACCCGTGCGACTCCCACTTTGCTCCCTGGCCATTGCTTTGCTTCTTTCACATGCCTGTGCCGGCCTCTCTGCTCAAAACTGGATGCCGTGCGATTAACACGGATAAGGACACCAGAAACAAAGCAAACAGAAGCAAGCAAGCAGCCGATAAAAGCCCAGATCCCAGCCACCGCCTCCTTCAGACCTTACTTTCTGACCAAGGTTAGGCTGGAAATTTGGGGACTTTTTTGTGGAAACTGGGGAGAGGGAGTCCAATTGTTGCTTGCAAGTTGCTTCGCTAGGTGGCCTTGGGGCTTGGTCGCCCGGCCCCCCACCTGCCTTCCCTCTTTTCAGCCCTGGGGACTGGGTGCTGTCACCACAGTGAAGATGCGCAGGAGCCTCTTCTCCGTGGGATTTGCAGCCCGTTTCCAAAATGAACACGGACACTCAGAGTCAGGGATGCGCACCGGTGCGTGCGCACAAAATCCAGAGCTGAGGCCCGTGGGACAAATAAATGCACATATTTGCATATACTAATCCATGGGTACTTTGCATGTGTGTGAAGCACCCTTACTCCGAGGCACCCCTATTTTCAAAAAGGAGGAATAGGCAGCGAAATGAAGACATTAACTTCTGGGGTGTGGGGAGACTTGGGCAGAGCAATTTGGAGAAGGGGCAGTAGCAGGCGAAATGCGTGTGGGCAGAAATCCAGCTGAGCAGCCAAGTGCCCTGTTTTCTGCAGGGGCTCATGGACAGCCGGGTGGCGGAGAGTCCCGGGCTCCAGGCGAAAGTGCTGGGGCTCCGGCCCAGGGCCTGCTTCCAGCCCCACCTCTGGTGTCCTGACGCCCTTGGACCTCGTCACGGTTTAAGAGCCAGCACCACCGCTCGTTTCCTCCCCATCTTCAGCCCACAATCCCACCCACCCCACCCTCCTCCTCCTTCCAACCTGTGAAGGGCACTTCACCTACTCCGGCGTTGGGTGAGGAAATTCAGGCGGACCAGTGTTGGGATCAGCCCCTAGGAAAAGCACTTCCAGAGCAGAGCAGTGAAAATGCAGCTGCCTGGCAGGTCAGGTGGCTGTGGGGAAAGGCTCCGTTGCGCATGGTGGCAGGGAGCTGCCGCCTAGCCTTTCTGAAGCTCGCACAGGAGCCGCTGCCGAGAAGGCCGCCCCATCCCCAGCCTCACACAGCTCTGGCAGGGAAGACCTCTGTGCCGGGTCTTCGTGGCTGCGCCCCTCCCTACCCGCCGAGGGCCTGAGCGACGCCAGCAGCACCTTGACCCGAGCTCAGTGCCCCGAAGGCAGAGTGCTTTGCTCCCGTGGCCCGGACACAGCTGTCTCTGCCACAGCGTCCCCGTCAGGCACACCCCAAGCCCGCTCTGCCGAACAGGCTGGCTGTGGCTCTGTCACCCGCTGGCTCTTCCAGGGCCTGCCACGCGCAGCGTGGGGACGGCCCTGTCCAGCTGGGACAAATGGCGCCGTCTGACTGGCCTCCAGTGGCGACTCCGAGCGCCACCGTTGTCCCCCGCATGGGCAGAGAGGAGAGACGGCCCGGGAAAGGAAGGGTGTCCTGGGACGGAGATGCAGGGATGGCAGGGAGCCGAATTTTGGGTGGGTGTGGAATACACACCCGCATGTTCTCTGAGGGTGCCTTGGTGCTGGTCTCTCGGTGCGGGTGTTCAAAGGTAGGCTGGACATGCACATGGTGGGCATGTCGTGAGCAGAGCCAGGGGTCAGACTAGAAGGCCTGGGAGGCCCCCTTCTGACTCGCGCTGTTTCTGTTTCTTGGCTGGATGCGCTTCCAGGCGAACAGAGGCCTCATGGGGAAGGGCTGCGTCTCCCTGTGAGACAGCCAGAGGGCTGCCAGCCACGTTCACCCCGGGCTGGAGGAGCCCGCCTCTCCTGGCATTCCATGGCCACCTGCGGGCTGGGTGCCCAGGAGTATCCCCTCAGCGGGGCAACAATCCTCGCTGGCACGTGTGCCACCTGGCCCAGCTGCAGAGCAGGGGCACGTGCTGGAGGGAGAGCGGGTGCATGAGGGGTGAGTTCATCTGTCCATAGATGCCCTTTTCTTTGGGACGCGGTTTGACCTGGGCAAAACCTGAGTGAGTTCTGCTTTCGGTTGGGAGGGTGGCACCGCCATTCTCACGCCATCTCCATGGCAGGGGACCTTGCGGGAGCGGCCAGAAGCGCCTCTTTGCAGGACGCTGCGCCATGAGGCCTCGGTGCCCTCCAGGGACCGTGCTGGTGCTTGGGCTGCTGCGCCTGCCTGGAAAGGAGCCAAGCGACTTCCCCCAGAGCAGGGAAAAGCTTGGGCCCGTTCTGAGCTGTTTCCGGCTCCCTGGAACCAAGCAGGGGCAGGAAGGGGGCCATCGCTCTTTACTCCTTGGCAGGCTGCAGGCGATCTGTGCAGAGCGATGTCTGCCCAAGGAGAGAATCTGGAGTGACAGCGATTCTTCTCTGGCTCAGATTAAAATGTGGTACCCAGAATAATGCAGGACCACAATGTTCACCTCTTATCCAAGATGAGCATTGTGAACTTTGAGACTCCTGTTCCCAAGCATATAAATATGAGTCCCAGAGATAGAAGCATTTTGTAGCTAAATTCAAATTGGTCAAAGCCAATCCAGACATTACGCCCTCCACACGTGTGCCTCTGTGGTACCTTGCAGAAGTAGCCGTCCCCTTTTAACTTGCCCACATTTTGTTCTTGTGTTATAACCTGGAGTTGAAAAGGATTTAAGTGACATCATTACTATAAGTACCTCAAAGGCTGTCACAGATGAAGGTCAAGATCTCTTCTTGCTGCTGCCAGAGTGCAGGACACAGAATGTTCAGTTCAAGCTGCAACAACCCAGATTCAAGCTGAACATCAGGAAAAGCTTGTCACTGTCAGAGCAATACGGCAGTGGGACCAGCTGCCTGGGGAGGTGGGGGGCTCTCCCACACTGGGGACATTCAAGGAGAAACTAGGTAGCCATCTGGGTGGGATGGTGTAATGTGGTGTCCTGCAACAGCAGGGCGTTGGAACAGATGGCCCTCATGGCCCCTTTCAACTCTACTATCCTATGATTCCATGATTACCACCTGATGTGCATGAGAAACTCAGCACTGAAAGCCTGAAACATGTTTATTGTGGCACAAAAGTCAAGTAAATGAAAGCAAACTGACCCTTCTTGATTGCAAAAGTCTTCAGGCTCAACCCTGGTGCAGTTCATGGCCCCTGGAAGCCATATGCTGAAGGACAGAGTCCGCCTGTGTGCAGCTCCAGTGCTGCAGGATCTGGTGAAATGTGCCTCTTCTGGAGGGCCTCAGGGTTGGCTGGGGAACAGATCGAAGCGGGCGGCGCCATAAAGATGCTGTCGAGCTGCTCTGGGATGAAATTGTGCAGCAGCACCAGTCAGGGTTGGGGTGTTAAAAGCAATGCACCAAAATACGGTCGGCACTTATTTGTTGAGGGATGCAGTTTCATCTTGGAATGTTTGCCCAAATACTCAACTAAAAATAAAAAACCTTATTTTTCTGTAATTAATGATATTCTAACTTGTGATCGTAATAGTAATGAACAGTTTAACATTGGGCAATCTGAATAAACTTGAGCGCTGGGCTGAAAGCAACAGAATGAGGTTCAGTAAGGACAAGCGCCAAGTCCTGCACCTACGAAAAAGAACCCAAAGGCATCGATACCAGATGGGGAATACGTGGCTCAACAGGACTGGAAAAGAAAAAGATCTGGGAGTAATTGTGGACAACAGGCTAAACATGAGCCAACAATGCAATGCAGCCGCCACAAGGGCAAATGCTGTTTTGGGATGCATTCACAGAAGTATTACTTCCAAATCACAAGGTGTAGTCCCTCTATGCTCCTCACTAGTCAGACCTCACCTGGAATACTGTGTCCAGTTCTGGGCACTGAGATTTAAGAAAGTTGCAGTAAAATTAGAAAGGGTCCAGCGGAGGGGGACAAAAATGATCCAGGGTTTGGAAACGCTGCCCTGTGAGGAGAGACTGGGAGAACTGGGCATGTTCAGCCTTGAGCAGAGAAGACTGAGAGGGAACATTGTATCCCTCTATAAGGACCTCAAAGGCTGTCCCAAAGAGGAATGTCGAGATCTCTTCTTGCTGATCCCAGAGTGTAGGACACAGAATAATCAATTCAAGTTGGCACAACACTGATTCAGGCTGGACTCAGGAAAACTTCCTCACTGTCGGAGCAATACGACAGTGGAACCAGCTGCCTAGAGAGGTGGGGGGCTCTCCCACACTGGGGATATTCAAGGTGAAACTGGGCAGCCCTCTGAGTGGGATGGTGTGACTTGGTGTCCTGCAGCAGCAGGGGGCTGGACTAGATCGCCTTCATGGCCCCTTCCAACTCCACTATTCTATGATTCCATGGTATGAATATTCCATGGAGCACCAAACCCACAATGAAGCACATGGGGAGTTTGCAAAAAGGCATGTGGGAGACAAGCAACCATGTGCAAAAGCTGCTCTGGCCGCTGAGACCGAAGCTGAGGTTTCTGGCCTTTCCTAGGAACATGGTGTGCGGCAGCAGGCCAGAGGAGCCCATGGTCAGGCGGGCTGGTGACTCGGCATCTTCTGGGACTCCAGCAGGATGGCGACCCTGAACATGCAGGTGAAGCGACACTGGTGTGGTTGCAAAACAAAGGCCCGAATGTCTTAGCATGGTCCACACAAAGCCAGATCTCCGTCTCTGTACTCCAGCAGTCCATGTTCAGCCGGACAGAGCTGAAGCGGTTTTGCCAAGAAGAGTGGCCAAGCATGGCAGGATCCGGAGGCACGGAGTCAACAGCTCACAGCTCTTGCTTCCTGCCAATGCTGCTCCCACCCAGTATGCCCGCGGGGCATGGAGACTTTTGTACCCAACAAGTGCCAGCTGGGCTTGGCGTGCTTAACGTTTGGGCCACCACTGAAATGCTTTGCAGTGTTAGGCTTCTGGCACCGTCAAGTGGTAACGATGCAGGGAAACCTCTTTCAG